AACCCTGCTGTGACTGTGTCCCTTTCTCAGAGCAGACAGGTAGGTCCTGGAACTGGCTCCTGGGTTGTCCCTGAGCTCTGTAGACCCTTTGGCCTTGACGCCCTTTCCTAGGCAAGGGGCAAGGGCAATGTTTTCTTCTCTGCCCAAATTAATTGCCCCTCCTCAGTCTTCCCAAATTGATGCTTCTATGTTAAGATGACCTGATAAATGCCAAACATTATTCTGTCATCCTAGGAAGTTTCAAATTGGAGAGACTGCTGTAAGAAACTGCAAAGTAGCCAGGCACCAGTGGCTCACACTCGTAATCCTAGCTACTCAGGAGGCAGCGATTAGGAGGATCACGGTTCAAAGCTAGCCCTGGACAAATAGTTCTCGATCCCCTATCTCTAAAAACCCTTTACAAAAAAAAAAAAAAAGGGGCTACTGGAGTAGCTCAAGGTGTAGGCCCTGAGTTCAAATCCCAGTTCTGCAAAAAAAACAAAAACTGAAACTTCAGAGTAAAAAATGGCCAACCCTTGTTATTTGTTCTAATACCCAGTGACAGCTGTCATTTTTTGAGCATGGACCATGGGCCAGACGCTGGACTGTGGCTTGCCACATTGTTGTACTCAACCTTCACCACAGTGTGTTAAAGATGAGGAGCCAGTGGCAGTGAGGTGGAAGAATGTTGAATGTTTCTGAAAGCACTGGGCTGGGGAGCAGAAGAGCCCATGAAGGGGTCTCACCTTACACTCTAAGGGCAGTCGTGGCCAACTGCCCTTTTCTTTCCCAACCATGATGCTGCAGATGACAGATGAAGATGAAAAGGTCAGCAATATTACTAATGAAGTCACCTACAGACAATTCTTGCTAATAGTTTCTGAATGACCCCTGTGTCCCCCCACCAGGTCTAGACAGTAAGTTACTCTTCCAGGTTGAAGTGTGGTCCATGGAGTACAGACTGACCCCAGAGAGCTCCCTGCGGTAGTCCGGGTGGAAAGCTTAAAAAAGAAAGGGAACTTTCTGTGCGGTTAATAAGTAATAACTTAGGTTGGTTCCATCAGCATACATGAGCCTACTACTCAGTAAATGGTGGGGCAGAGACCGGTAGTATTGATCTGTAGAAATCAAAGAAAACCCCCAAATGTGGACAAAGTGTTTCCCTTCCTGCCTGGTGATTTCTGAGAACCCCCTGACCAACTGGCAGGTGGAACACAACAAGCTTTCTGAACGGTAGGGGACTCACAACATAGGGTTTAAAAGCAGGAGCATGGGATCAAACCCTGGCTGCCTCACTTCCTATCTGTGTGACCTCATTTAACCTCATGTACAAAAAATCAACCTCAAAGTCATCTTGAGGCATTCAGGAAGTAATGAATGTATAGCACATGGCATGTTGAGCATGCAGTGTGTGTTAAGGGCTGGCTTTGAGCCACTATTCTCCTGATCTCTGTCTCCTGAATAGCTAGTATTATAGGTGGAACTTTCTATATCTGGACACTGTCCACAGAAAGATCAACATGATTATGATGAGTTTTGGGTGGGAGGCAGAGTTGGGTACCAGCAGATCAGCAAAGGAAAAGCAAAGCAGGTGGAAGAAAGCCAGGAAGGTGCCATAGATATGGGCAGCAAGGGAATGCAGGTGCCAGCTTTTGACAGGGCTGTGAGTGATGGCTAGGCACATGGGTGTGGAGGGCAGCCTTTAAAAGAGACCTGGGGTTTTTTTGTTTTGTTTTGTTTTTTAGCTTGGAAGTCACATTGTGGTTCCCTGTGGGATGATAGAACGGAAGGAAATTTCAGGATCTCTGGTCTTCCTCTCTCATTTACTAGAGGAGGAGTGACAGAATCAGTCCATGTGGTGTGCACATAGCCAGTGATGGAGCTCTGGGCTCTGTTTAGCAAGTGTGTAATTTTTCTCATGAACATCTTGCCTTCCTCTAACAAGCTTAAAATCTGTACTCACATAGATGAATTATCCCGGGAGCTAATGGAACTCCCACTGAAATCCTAAAAAACTTTTTTTTAAAGGACAGAAACTAACAATTGTCCAGTGCCTGTATGTGTGCAGATGTCACCAAGAGTCTTCCATGGGCTAAAGCTGCTTTCTGATCTATGCAGAGGGGTACATGGCGCTCACTGTACACTGAAGAGGAAGGGACTCTGGCAAGGACGAGGTGGGAGACAGGGAGGCTGCAGGCCAACTCTGTCAATTCTGCAGAGTCCACAGAAATCCATCTGCTTGAGGGCCAGGCCTGAAGAAAACGGTGTATGGAAATCTTAGTTAGTGGTTTCCAAGCACTCAGATGAGGTCTTTTGAAACACAGATGTTTTTAAAAGAAATATCAAAATCTGCTCAGATTCAGGTTACTTCTAATGAAACAATAAACCCTGTCAGTTTAGGCCTTGAAATTCTTTTTAACAATTCTAAAATAGATTTCACTTGTGAGTACACCATGCAGATTTTGCTAGTTATGTAAGTAGGAATGAAATGGCATATTCAATATTATCCTCTCATGCTACATCTCTAAAATTTTCCATAGTTTATTTTATTAATTAATTTTTGGTGGTACTGGGGTTTGAACTCAGGGCCTCATGCTTGGTAGGCAGGCACTCTACCACTTGAGCCACTCCATCAACCCTTTTTTGTGTTGGGTATTTTTGAAATGAACTATTTCTCTGGGCTGGCCTTGAACCACAATCCTCCTGATCTGTCTCCTGAGTAGCTAGGATTATAGGCATAAGCTAAAAGTTCTGGTTCACACTTTATTTTTGTAACTACTTTTGTCTTAATCATACATGCTTATTGCCAAAAATTTGATGAATTTCAAGAAAAACTCAAAGAATAAAATAAATTCTGCCCTATTTCCAAAACTTAGTGATACTACCATTTATATTTGTGTGTGTGTTTTAACAGATTATTTTCAGAGCGATTTTAGGTTTACAGAACACTGAATGGTGGTTGGGAGTATGGCTCAAATGGTAGAGCCCTTGGCCAGCAAACCAGAGGCACTGAGTTCAATCCCCAGTGCCACAAAAACAAAAATGAGTACAAACACCAAACTGAGTGGAAATTACAGACTTCTGATATGGTCTCTAACACGCCTCCTCCCTCCATACAGTTTTTTATTTGTGGTGCTGGGGATGGACCCAGGGCCTTGAGAGTGCTAGGCAGATAGTTCCCTGTGAAGCTGCACCCCAGTCCTGTACAGTTTCTTCACTGTTACTGTCTTATCTTAGTGTGGTACATTTATTACAACTGATAAGCCAATACTGATGCTTTATGATGAACAAAGCTCATAGCTCCTCAGGGGTTCAGTCTGTTGACAAACGCATGACATAGATCTGCCATTACAGTACTTATACAGAGTAGTATTCTCAATATTTAAAAAGCACAGATAAAATTAGATTTGACTTTTTATTGGTAGTATAATACTTTCAGATGTTCTTTTGTCTTAAAACAGGGGGTGGACTTCTTCTTTAGTTATAAAAGTGGTGCAACTTTATAGTCATGCTAGCACATTAGAGCCACTCAAAGGACTCTTCTAAAAAACTACACTTTTAAAATAATGCACATCTTGGCTAAAAGTGAGAAATACTGCAGAAACCATGGTAGACAGAGGACTTTACAGTTTTGTTCTTGGTGTTAAAGAGATTTTAACTGCAGAGAAAACATGCCAGTGAATCGTGCAGAAATACTAGTTTCTACACCATCCTAAAGAAAAAGTTATGAGAGTTTTGGACTGGAAAAAAGTTATGAAAGTTGGGATCTTAAATTGTAGAAATAACCAGAGTGTCAAAGTTGTAAAAGCAGAACTCGTTTTGTGCCATGAACATGAAAAAAAGGCTACTGTACAGTCGTGTTCCCCCCGCCCCTCCTTAAATGAAGAAAAGCTTTGCTGAAAGGTTCCATGCTTTCATCGGAGTGAATCTGAAGGCTCCTACTCCTTTGGAGTAAAACTAGTGCTTTAGTTCGCCTTTTCTGGTTGGAATTTGAAAAAATGAAAACCTAAGTAAAGTAGGTGAAAGTTCCCTGACTACTCAGGTGAACATAAAAAAACGAACTTAAAAAAAATGAATTCCACTACTTGTGAAACAGGAAACAATCACCGAACATTTGGAGCACACACAGTTCTGCTTCTCCTCAGTGGTTTTCCTGAGAATTAACTAAGAAAGGTGACAGTCCTTTAAGTGAGTTGACAGGACCAGCCACCAAGGCTTGCCTTAGGCCCTGGGGAAAAGGTACATAGACCTGTCGCCTTGCCTTTTCTGCTTGCTCGAAGGCGAGCGCACGCCTCAAGTGCAGCCACCCAACCTGGCCTGGCGCGAACTCCAGGCCGAGCGGCGGCGCGTGGGCGTGGGGTGGTTGCCCGGGCGACGCGGCGGTGGCTCCCGCCCTGCGCGTGGCTGGGGGTCGGTCGGGGGCGGGAGTAGGGGAAGAACGGGGTTGGGGGCCAGTCTGTGAGTGGCCGTGTGGGAGTGGCGGGAGTGGCAGGAAGGGAGTTATCCTAGGGAAAGACTTGTACTTCGGGAAATAATGGTGCTCCTGAGTGGGAGAGGGATCCGAGGCATAGCAAGGGGAAATCTTGTGGGGAGGGGCGAAAGGAGAGTGGGGCGTGGCTGCGGGAGGGTGAGGGGGGTGAGCTCAGTCGCAGGCGTGGCCTGGAGTGGAGGGTGGGGGAAAGTGGTGCCAGGGCGTGGCCAGGGGGCTAGGGGCGTGGCCAGAAGTAGGTGGGTGGTGAGTAGGTCGGGACGTAGCCTGAGGCGCCGCGTGAAGGGCGTGGCCTGGGCCCGGGGGTATGATTCCCAGGAGCAGGGCAGGGGGCGTGGCTTTCGGGGGGGACGCAGCTGGGGTGAAGGCGTGGCCTTACGGGGAAGCCGGGGGCGTGGCCTGGCGCAGGGGCATGGCCTCGGGAGGGAGCTGGGCTGGGGGCGTGGCCCGGGGGGGATAGGGTGGCCGCCGCTGGCGGAGAGTCTGCGCGGTGCTTTCTCCCGCGGCCGCCCTGCGGGTTGCCATCCCCGTGGCCGCGCGGCACCGAGCCCGGCGAGCTCGGGGCTCCACCGGCACTGGATTCGGGCCTGGGCCGCTGGGACATCTTGGACACGGTGCCTTTGCACCTTCTGTGGAGGGGGACTACGCGAGGTGAGGCTGCGCCGGGTGCGTGCGGCTCTGCCCCGAGGACGCGGGCTGTTGAGTGGGTTCCCGGGGAGGAATTGAGTGACTTGAGGGTGTCCTGCTCCTCACTTCTCCTGGCTGGGGAGACCTGCCTGGGCTGCTCACCTGTTGGGTGGCAGTGGTTGCTCTGAGCCCTCCGGGTCGCCGCAGCGTTGCCTCCGCGGCGGGCGGGCGCTGATGGCGACCTCGCCCCAGGCGGCTTCCAGCAGGACCTGTCCAGGGATTATCCTGAAACTCGACCCCGCGCTCCGTGCGCGGGCCCGGCCGGCGGGGTTGCGCCTGGAGGACGGACAAAGGTAGGTGCCAGTGGCCCTTTTAACACTCGCTCCCTGCGGCCGGACCAGGAGGGGATGAGGTCGGACACTTGGCTTAGAAAGCAGGTTTCTCCTCTGGTTCCTACTGGGTCTCATTCCAGGAAAAAGACTTTGGGACCCGATGTCTGTGGTCACTGGACTGGAGAGAGGGAGTTGGCAGAGTTGGCGTGGCTCCATTTCTGTTTAGGATGTGGGGGATTGTTAGCCCCGGGAAGGTAGACTAAAGGCCAGCAGCAGGGGAACTCAGGTGACTTGTGCTGGCCGGCCACCCATCTAACTGCAAAGTTACAGAGCCTGAGCAAATTTCCCCTCCAAGTGCAAAAAAACAAGCCAAACCAAAGCAAGCAAGCAAAACTCTGTGGGTTAGCTGCTTCCCGGCATTGGATGGTGATGTGGATAAACAATAATAACTTGAATTTTTCAGCTCATCCCAGGTTTCTCAGAGTTGCACATGACGCGCCCTCCCCACGGCGTTCCCAGGCTCACTTCAGTCCCCTTTACCCCGTGCTTTCTTCCTATTTGTTCCACCCGGCCTCCCAGTGCTTCTTTTTATTCCACTTGCTAAGAGGCATGGAAAATTCACCCAGTTTTCTTTCTTTTTTTTTTTTTTTCCACATCAGTTTCTTTTTACAAATTTTCTAAAAAGTGCCCCCTATCTTTTTCTGTCCTCCTCCCTCATTCAAACTTCCCTCTGCATTGTTCTCCGGGTGCCGGTTAATTATGCACCCCACCATGTGCTGCTGAACCTTGCTCTCTGCCCCTCCCCCATCCTCAGAGCTTTATGTGGCTGTTTATACTGCTCCAATACTCTAATTTTCAGCTACCTCCCTCGGCCCCCAGATTTGCCATGCTCTCCCCATCCTGGCTGAAGATCCCCTCCTTTATTTGTTCCTGTGCATGTACCATCCCCTCCTCCTTCCACAGGCTCGCTCTTCCCTTTTACCTGCTTCTCCCTGACAAGCGCTTTCCCCAGCCCCAGTTGCTTCCGCTCTCACAGCACACTTGGACTCAGGTCCTTCTGTTGTGGTTTTTCACAGTCCCTGAGCATCCCTAGGTTCTTTTTCCTTCTTTCTGATCAGCCTTCCGTTACCTTGCAGATAGCTTTATTCCAGAATGTCTGGAGGAAGGCAGGGCAGTTGCTTTTCTGCAGGAGTGCCCCAGGTTTCAGGGGGCACTCCTGCCGTTTCTGTTTGTTTCTACTGAGGTAGAATCATACATGTAGTCCTTGAATGATGTTGATATCAGCATTAATATGTCTACTAGGCAGCATTTATTGGACACTTACATGTGCCAGGCAGTGTTCTGAGGGCTTTGCATGCATGCCACAGTATTCACTTTAAGTCCTCTTCACATACTGTGACATAGGATCTACTACTGTCTCATTTTACAGGTGAGGAAAGAGTCTCAGAGAAGGTCAGTAACAGATGGGTTTCCGGGACAATGCAGTCCGTCATGGTGGATGCCTTCTTCTCGCCAGGCACAGAGGTTCCATGCCATTCGACCTCTTGAACTCAGACAGGCCTTGGCTTTCAGCTTTGGAAATGAGGTCATTGTTTGACATGTTTTATTTAGTTTGCAGTGTGTACCAGTTGAAGGCACAAGTTGTATGCCTGTAGGACAGTACATGGGGAAAACCTCAAACCTGAGGAAAGCCTGGTGTCCTTCAGATGGCCTGGCGAAGGTACAGGCTATCACGTCATCCATGCCTCCAGCCTGTTTTCCCTCTCTGTCACAGGAAGCTGGGAAGAAAGTGTTATTTAAAAAGACCATTGCCAACTGTCCCCTCCTGTGTGTTAAGTTCAGTTTCACTTTTTTTTAAGCTGTGCAGACCTTAGGGTCTGTGCGAACCATGTGATATGATTTCACAAGTCTTACTTCTGTTTTATTATGTAATCTTAAAGCCTTGATCAGACATTTCTTTGTTAGTTAGCCTTCACCTCCTAAGAGTTGGAGATGAGTCTTTTTTCTTGGATTGGCAAAGTGATATACTTTGATAGTTGGAAGGGACCCAGGGAAAAAAGAGGACTCATCAAGGGGAAGCAGCCAAACGGGAGAGCTGGCCCCAGGACCCCGGCCTTTGAACTGCTGGCCCATGGCTTGATACCTGACCCTACAGCCTGATGGCTGATGTGTCCACCTGCTGCTGAAAGCAATGAGACTTCTCTCCCTTTCCTTTTCTGAACTGAGAGCACCAATTGGTTCACTTAGTGGTCATCATCAGTGCTTTGCTTTCTTTCTGTTTTTGTGAGGAAGCTAAACATTTAGAAAATGTTTGCTTTTGAGACTTGCAATGGCATAACTGGTATCATACATCACAGATGTATACATTCAGATGTTTTAGAGGGAAGTGAAATTTCCCACACACCAGGAAAGAACACCAAAGGTACATGGTTTTCTAGAGGCAAACCATATAGGATGTGGGAATTGGAAAATCAGTAACTGGAATGCCTAATTCGCTCCCTTTTGCAGAGAGAAATGCATTAATACCAGGTATGTGCATGATTTTCTTCACCTCTGCATTGCCAATCAGCAGCAGTGAGGGCAAGAGAGAGGCAGAGACAGAGGCAGAGTAGCTGCTGTTTCTGCAGCTACTCTGTCCATGCAAACCCCACCCCACTTTCTGAATTTAGCCAGATTGCTAAACCCGCAGAGGACAGAGCCCCCATAAAGGAGGTGGCAGAGTGTTTCCTGAGACTGGCCAGCTGTTCCTGGAGAAGAATATGACACAGGCCTGAACTGGCCAGACTGCAATGTTTTGGTGAGGCTCACAGTCTGAAAGGTCTCCAGCCTCGGGGTCTTCTCAGGCCAGCGAGTTGCTCTGTCCTCCTCTCTCTCAGCTTTTCCTAGTCACCACTCCACGCCCCCAGAGTGTACAGCAGCAAACCAGGAAAGGAGTATCTTTGCTCATGTAGAGTAAGAGCAAGGGGAGAGCGAGTCCAAGCTTCATTGACTGACAGCAGGAGAGGCAGGAGGGCCTGCAATAATTCTGTGCCGTTGACTGCAGACTTTTATAGAAAATACTGTACCGTGTGATAGGACAGGCTGTTGCACTTGAGCGTTGAAATTACAATTGAGTTTCACTAAAAAGTTTCTGAGGCTAGGTCCTGGTACTTAGCCGCCATATGTGATTGAGAGAGGTAAACAGGTCTTGAATTCTAAACATGTTACATGTGTACTTTTAAACACATCCTCTGTGGGTTGGACTTGTCTGCTTTAGAACCAGGCTTGGTTTCCACCCTTCCTGGGGTGGAGTGCTCTTCTGTAATGTCTCAACTTTCTTATTGATGCTGAATTGCCTAGTGGGAGACTGGATCTGTAGTGATGGAGCCATTGCCCCCACAGGTGGAAATGATAATCCCTTTCCTGCTGGTTTGGAGGGACGTATGTGTACCCAACACTTACTGGATGTTTTCTCTGTATCAGGCTGTGTACTAGATGCTGAGTATGGAAAGCTCATGAGAGCCAGCCCCCGATTTCATGAAGAGGCTCACGTTCCTGTAGAACAGGTGGATGAGCAAAACGCTAAGTAGTGAACTGTGTGCTGGTGTGTTTGTGTAGGGGTCATTAGGGGCCGAGAGAGTTCTAAAGTGCAGAAGGCTTCCTGGAGGAGGAAAGACAGAAGGCAAGGACAGGCGCTGACAGAGACAAGCAGCATTCAGAGGCAGGAGACCCTCACGTAGCTCTGTGGGGTTACAGCCCTAGCTTGGCATTGTGACTGATCTGTTACCTAGAGTGTGGCTCTAGCATCAACACTTGGGGGCTTTTCTAGGGCTTCCCCAGATCTACTGAACTAGCAATCCTGGGGGTTCCTCCCAGCCACCTGTATCTTCACAAGCCTTCCAGGTGATTCTCACACACACTGGTATCTGAGAGCCCCTGTTCTACAGCAGGTGCTTTCTGGGGGTTTAATGGTAGCACATGCCTGCAATCTCAGCTACTTGAGAGCCCTAGCAAAGCCATGAGATCTATGTGAAAAACAAATTAAAGGCAAAAGGACTGAGTCGCAGCCCGAGTGGTAGAGTGCTTACCTAGAATGTGAGAGGATTCACTCTCCAGCATGGAGCACTGCATTAGTGCTGTACACTGAGCTACACCCCAGCTCCTGAACAACCACTTGGCATGGCTGCGTGAACACCTGGCAGGGAACTGTGACTGTGCCCCCACCTGGTTGAATTGTAGGTGCTTTCCCTCAACTTGAGGACTGTTCAGTTTCATGCACTTCTTTCCCTGGGGTATATCCTCACAGTTTGTTTGTCTACCCTGTTTCTTGTCAGTGTACACTAAAGAACTTATGTCTTTTAACACCTAGCTGCCAGGATTTCTTAGTGTCTCCTGCCACCTGGGTTGCCTCTGCTGTTTATTAGCTGTGTGACCTTGTGAAGGTCTTAACCTCTCTGTGCCTTAGTTGCCCTATTTGAAAAATGTAGATAGTATCTAACTTAGTCTGTTCCTGCTGCTATAACAAAACACCTTAACGTGAGTGGTTTATAAAGAGGAGAAGCATTTCTCCGTTCTGCAGGCTGGGAAGCCCAAGATGAAGGCACAGATCTGGTGAGGGCCTTCTTGCTGCAACCTCACTTAGCAGAAGAGGTGAAAGGGGCAAAAGCACAGGAAATGGAAGGGCCCTTTTATTAGGGCATTAGTCCCATTCAC